TGTGTGTCGATGGCTGGACTCCATACATGGATGTGGACTCCCCAGACACCGGCCGTGACGGTGACTTCGAGACCCTGGATGCCCTGAGGGATCAGTACTACTTCTGCGACCAGCAGATGATCACTGGTGAGAAACAAATCATGTTTTATACCATAATAGTATAACTTGTTGCCAACACTCCTCCAAACTTTTAGCCACATTAACATCAACCTTCACCTCATTTACATATCAATCAAAAATTCAAAGTTTTTTGACAAATATAAAAAAATGCTAAATTATTACTGTTTCTCTTTCAGTCACTGGGCCAGTTTACACGGGGCAAAAAAAGTGTCCTACAATGATCAACGCGTGTTATGATGCGGCGATTTTTGTTTGATGTGTCCTGGATGTGCCACACAAAAATTGCAGCACGGGCCAGTTACACTGTCAAAAAATCTATCCTAAAACAGGTGACACACGGTGATCCGTCCATCATTGAAAGGCACTTTTTTTTCTCTGTAAACTGGCCCTCTGATGAAAGGTATTTAATGCTATCTAACCAGTGCTAAAATCTATCCAGTCTTGGAATTATAATGAGTTCTCCAAACATTTTTCCTCCCCAGACATCCTGTGCCGCGTGGTTGGCACCGACTCCACCTACTCCTTCCAGACTGGAGAGAACGTCATCTGTGACGAGTTCACCGGTCTGAAGTGCTTCAACCAGCAGCAGCAGGACGGCCGCTGTGAGGACTACGAAGTCTCCGTGTACTGCCAGTGCAGCCCCATTGGTGAGTTTATTATCTTTATGTTATTCTATAGATCTGTAAAGAAAGAAGACCATTCCTTTTCCTGTTCTTTAGGCCATATTAATTTGATTATATGGATGGCATCCTCTGGAAGCCCTAAAACTGATAGGAGCGTGCAAAAAATAATAATGAAATCTACTCAGTCATGAGAGATGATCAAATGACTAAATACATTTTACAGTTGCTTTGTGCAATTTACCGTATGGTCAAAAACTTTTGGGGGGAGAAATGGACAGAAATTCATGTGCATGTGGAGGTCATCCGTATAATCAAATCAACATGGCCTTATACAAATGTACCTGTTCTTCTCAAATTGTTGTTTGAAGTAACATGTTTTACTCACTCTTAATTCATCTTAAAACCACAGAGACAACAACTCTTGGAACAACAACCACCCAGCAGTTCACCACCACACCTAAGCCTACCACACCAACGGCTACTGCCACTGTGCCAGCCAACCCAACCACCACCAAGCCCACCACAACTGCTGAGACAACCGTTGTCACTGGTACAACCACCATCGCAGGTGAAGTGGTCACAACCACCCTGCCCATTGGTGAAGTGACCACTGGCAAGCCAACCACCACCCTGCAGACCCAGACCCAGACTCTGGGAACCCTGCCAACCCTGCCTGGGCAGACCACCACTCTGAATCCTGTCACCACCACAGGTGTTATTGTTGATACTGGAGCCACCCAGACTGTGTCCATCGGAACAACCACCACTGGCAAGCCAACCACAACTCTCTCCACCACCAAGCCTACCAGCACCCAGCTCTTCACTGACACCACCACCAGGCCTGTGACCACCACAGCCTCTCACATGGACCAGTGCAACATGTGGACACACTGGACCAGCTTCGATACTCCCAACGATGATGGGTCTGATATTGAGCCTATCGACCAGATCCTGGCACAGTACAGCTTCTGTGAGAAGGTCAGCTTCAGTCTTCTTCTAGTCTTGTACGTTGCACTCTGGGAGTTCGAATCGTAGTTGTTGTCTCTCATCTAAAGTGCATGCTACTGTAAAGGGTCACAGACCTTATGACGGGACGTTAAGCCATGGTCTCCTGGTTGTTGTGCTTGTCGAAAGTAGCCAGGGGGATTTCCCTGGTTTGATGAACCTGTAAATACTGTACCTAGCACCTAGCACTTGTCTTCTCTGTCATGACCAGTGGGAGATTATCTCTTCAGTAAGCTAAAACTCGGTCGAGATAACTGTCTTTTCCTTTTCTTTCCTGACAGCTTCTGAATACCAACTAGAACATTAAGCATTTTATTTCTACTTCCTAAAAGTTCTTTGTATCTGAATAGATGTCTCTTGCCTTTTCCACAACAGGACATGCTTCAGCTGATCCAGTGCCGCATCGTTGGCACTGACATCATGGCTCAGACTTCTGGAGAGGATCCTGGAATGCTCCACTGATGTTGGTCTGCAGTGTCTGTACCAGAACAATGCTCCAATCCCATGCAGTGACTTTGAAGTCCGTGTCCTCTGTGTGTGTGGTACGTTCAATGATAATCTTGTTTCTCTTCAATTCTAATGTATTGGTATGTTAATCTGTACTGTATTGTTTGTAATCTGTATCATACAGTTGTATCTACCTTTTTATTGTAACCGAGCATTGGTAGATTATCATTCAGGACTAAAGGGTATCTCAATAAACTCAACTCATGAGGAAATTCTTCTACTGTTACAGAAGAGACAACAACTGCATCTCAGACCACCAAGCCAACAACTTTGGCCACAGTCACACAGACCCAGCCTGAGACCACCACTCAGATTGGCACCACCAAGCCTACTCCCACACAGACCATCGCCACTATGCCAACTGGTGAGACAACCACTCAGCTTGTCACTGGCACAACAGGCACCACTACCACTGGCACTGTTACCCTGCCAACAGTGACCCAGACACAGGTGGTGACCACCACCAAGCCTGTGACCGCCACTGGTGTTGTGACAGAGACGACCAAGCCTGAGGTCTTCACAACCACTGGTGTTGTCACCCAGACTCAAGTGGTGACCGTCACCTCCTCCCAGCCTGTGACCTACACTGATGTTGTCACACAGACAACCAAGCCTGAGGTCGTCACCACCACCCTGGCCACCACCAAGCCAACTCAGACCCAGACCATGGTCACCGACACAACTTCTGGTATCACCACCACTGGTGTTGTCACCGGTACCACCACCAAGCCGACTGAGCCACAGACCACTCTCATCACAGGCACCACTCTTGGCACCACCACCACTGGTATTGTCACTGAGACCACCACCACTGCCAAGCCCACAACTCCTGTGCAGACCACAACTGCAGCTCACAACGAGCCTTGCGCAGAGCCTATGGGTATGGAGAATGGCCTGATCAAGCCAGACCAGATCACTGCCTCCTCTCAGCTGGACGACCAGCACAGTCCTGATGAGGGAACCCTCAACAGCCCAAGTGCCTGGAAGCCTGATAACACTGATGTCAACCCATACATCCAGGTAAGTCTTATCAATAGCTCTATCACAGATGCTGCCCTTAAGACTGTCAAACATTATAGTTGATGAAAGTTGATGAAAAGTCTGCCACAGAAAAGTTGCTTTAATCTGCCATTTCTTTCTCCCAGGTTGACCTGCTTGAGCCGACCCACGTGACCGGCTTCATCACCCAGGGCAAGCCTGAGACCAACGAGTTTGTCACCACCTACACTGTCTACTACAGCAATGATGGTGTCAACTTCATGCCATACACTGATGAGTTCAACAAGCCTGTGGTATGTTGATGAATGTTGTTCACTACCATGTGCCACACAGCATTTTGCAATCATTGACTGCAGTACATGCAGTATTTGAATAATGAGGTACACTAAAATTGATATTATGATTTTAACATTCAATCTTTGTCTTTCCATACCAGACCTTCACTGCCAACAGTGACAGCACCACTCCAGTCACCAACCTGCTGGATGTGAACCGACCAATCACAGCTCAGTACTTCCAGATCCACCCAACAACCTGGAATGAGGAACCCGCATTGCAGGTGGAGATTCTTGGCTGCAAGGGTGAGTTGAAAAAACTCTTAGCAAGAAGAAATTTGTATAGTATTCAAAAGTCCTTATTCCTGCGTTTGTGGCAATGTTGCCCCACCAATATATGGTTTATTTCGAACATTTTAATAAATTTTTGTGATGTTTTGTCTTACAGAGACCACAACTACCGTTGCAACCACCACTACTCTTGGTACCACCACTACCAAACCAGCTCCGACTGAGACCATCCTTGTCACTGAGACAACTGGTACAACCACCATTGCCACTGTGCCAACTGGTCAGACAACCACCATTGCCACTGTGCCAACCGGTCAGACAACCACCACTGGTGTTGTCACTGAGCCAACTGGCACAACCACCATTGCCACTGTGCCAACTGGTGAGACAACCACCATTGCCACTGTGCCAACCGGTACAACCACCACCCAGGCTGTCACCCAGACACAGCTGGTGACTGAGACCCAGCCTGTTGTGTGTAACGACTGGACACCGTGGGTGAACATGGACAGTCCCGCTGACGGTGGAGACTATGAGACAGTTGCTCAGCTCGTCCAGCTCTTCCCATTCTGTCAGGTAGAGTGTCACTTCATTGGTCTTCAAGGTCATTTCAGAGGTCAAGACTTCAGACATTTGATCTTTAAGCTTGACTAGACTTAAATATTGATTTATACTTTTCATACAGAGTTTGTCATTTCGAAATGCTGTTTATGGAGGTCAAGAATGTCCAGTACTACGTATGTTAACCTTGGTGTGAGACCTAAAAACAAAGGGAGGTACACATGCACATTGACTGATCCTTGATCTTTAAGCTTCATTTCTGGACCTGACCCATGAATCGTACATTCTGCCCCACAGGACATGCTGAGGGATGTGGAGTGCCGCGTTGTTGGCACCCAGGCTCCGTGGTACTCTTCTGGTGACATGGGCATTCGCTGCGAGGCCGCTTCTGGTCTGATCTGCGACGATTCCAACAACATGCCTGTTGGCTGCCAGGACTACGAAATCAGGGCTTTCTGCGTCTGTGGTAAGTTGTTCAGCATTTTACCGAAAATTGGGAAAATGAAGAACTTTATTGTGCAACTCGAACATTGTGAATGCAGGAGATTTCATTCCACAGTTATGATTTTTATGTGTACACAGTACACAATCATTTTGAAAGCACTTTTTACACAATGTACTTCAAAACTTCCATTATGGATATTTTAATAGATGTACATGTATTATTCTTCTAGCCACCACAGCCGTGCCCACAGTCACCATCACACTGTCCACAACACCAACCACCAAGCCGACAACAACTCAGGGCACTGGTGATGGTGAACAAACAACAACACCAGCAACTACAAGTAAGCTTTTTTTATAAACAGAACGTTCAATACAATCTATGTGTGTGTATGCAGTCCTATCTGGAGTATGGAAAAAGGTGAATTTGTGGGATCCTGTCATATTAATACAAGCAGTACAGTAGAATATTCCCCAGTATTTTGCTTGGCACTACAGTAAATCAAGCACTTAAATAGAAAAGCTTCTGGACTGAGTATCGTCTCTATATCAGCCAGTGCAATGGCCAAGTGGGTAGAGTGTTCGCCTTGCATTTGGTACATGTAGGTCATGAGTTGGATCCTCAGCCAAGTCATACCAAAGTCTTTAAATATAATGGTGCTTTCTCTTCTTAGTACTCAGCATTTGAGAAAGAGTACTTACTTTATCCTTCCGCTTATGCCTGGTGGGGCGTCGCGGGGAGATGTAGTTGACGTTCCACTGCCAGGTGTGTGGGCTCCAGGAGTGTCATGTCGTGTGCGCTGAGGGTCTCCGCTACTCCGTCTATCCATCGGCGGCGTGGTTTCCCTCTGGCCCTTACTCTTGAGTGCCTGGCAGTGTAGGCCCTTAGGGCTGTTGAGAAAGAGTATGGTAGTTTAATACTGTCACCACTACCAGTAACCCCCTGCTGTATGTGATTGCACTCTGGCCCAAGGGCTATTGAACCGGGCATTGCCCAATGCATCATCTGGTGCAGGAAGGACTTTAACTGAACTAACTCATCTCTATATCATTGTGGCAAAGATGTAGACTGTGTACAATCTGATGTGATTGTTTCATTCACCCATCGCAGCCCTGAAGCCAGAGCCAGTGTGCACTCCTGACATGCACGGCTGGACTGACTGGATGAATGTGCACTACCCCACTCCTCTGACTGGTGGAGATTACGAAACCTACGACAACCTCAGGGACAAGTATGTAGTACATCATTCGCTTTGTCCAATAGTAAAGTTCTGTTATTCACAACCATTTGTCGAACACAATCCAACAGTTCAATGACCATCTCTCATACATCGGTGAAAGACATCCACAAGTAATAAGATATGCCAAAAAAGTAACTATTAACTGTTTTTTTGGCGGATTGTCTGTCATCTTCATCAGGGCTGATATGACTGGTTCACTGTACACTAGTACTGGAGCTACATTTTGTAGGTGTTATCTTCAGTGCAATGTGAACCGGAAAAACCTAGCTCCAGTGTACATACAGTAAACCAGTCTTTGTGTTTCGAAGATGCAGTTCAAATGTGGATTCACATCACGTGACTCGTCAATAACTGAAGAAAGATGGTGACTGCCTTCTGAAAGCTATGCTTTAACCAGTAAGTCGTGTGTACCAGTTTAAATCCTTCCTGTTACTATACATTGTACACGTTCATTTTTTATACAGGTTTGACTTCTGTCCAGAGGACACCATCACAGACATTGAGTGCCGTGTGGTTGGTTTCGGCCTGGACTACACTCAGGCTGGTCAGGCTGTCACCTGCGACACCAGTGTTGGTCTCATCTGTAACCACAATGACCAGAGTGGCCCCATGGCTAACTGCTTCGATTATGAGATCAGGGTCTTCTGTAACTGTGCAGGTAGGTTTCAATGATCTCTTTAATAGCATTATGAATTATGATTATCAAAAGGGCTTATGGCATTGAAGTCTTTTAAAAGTTAGATTGCAACAGACAAAACGCATGGCATGCCCTCAAATTACCTTGAATATTACTTGACATTGCCTTTGTTACCATTACCACAATCTGGATACTGTGTTTCACTGTTTTCTTCGCAACATTATTTCATTTATGTTATTTTTTGTCATTTTTACTACAGAAACTACCACAGCCACCACCACCATGCCAACTCAGACCCAGACCATTGGTACCCTGCCTACTGGTACCACCACTACTCTGGGTACTGTCACTGCTTCCACCACCAAGCCAGTAATTCCCACTGAGACCATTGCTCAGACAACAACCATCGGCCAGACCACCACTCAGGGTACCACACCACAGAGCACCACTGCCACCATCGGTACACTGACACCCACCATGGCTACCAGCACTCTGAAGCCTGTCACCACTACCATTGGCTCTGGCACCCCAGGTACTGAGGTTGTCACCTTCACCGAAGGTACCACCCAGCAGGTTACCACTACCCAGCAGAGTACCACTGGTACCACCACCACCAAGCCAGTCACCACCACCACCAAGCCAGTAACAGAGAGCACCACTACCAAGCGTAAGTATATCAATAATTTAGTGACACAAGTTTGAAAGATTTCAATCGAAAATTCCTATTTGTCTTCTTGAGAACAGCTACTAAATCGTTGCGCTCTTTACATCTGTAGATTGAACAAACGTAAATTGAAATTGATGGTATTTCCTGATATTTAACATGGATAATAAATTATATATATTTCTCACAGCTCAACAGTGCTTATTCCATGCATCCAGTTAGCAACATTTTAATTTTGCCCAATAAAAAAGGTCAATGAAAAGGTTTCTTTGCCATACCCTCTCTGAATGATCAGGAATGTCTTTTCTCTACAGCTCAATTCACCTACGAGTTCTGCGTTGACGGGTGGACGCCATTCTACAACACCCACGAGCCCAACCCACTCAACCCTCAGGACGGAGACTTCGAGCCTATTGACCAGATTGTGACCACCTACAACCTCTGTGGTGGCAACCCTGACATGGTCGAGGCCATCAACTGCCGCGAGGTACCAACATCATTTCTTCCTTCCTCAGAACTCGTCACTTTTGTTTAATGCAGTAACTATACATCATTAAATGTCCCCATAAGATAAAGACTTAGTAAAACAAGTTTTTCTGGTAGAATAAGCTTATTAATGACATCTCGTGCATACATATCTTGACCCACCAATTTTTGTCCGTCAAAGATTGAGCAAAATTTTTGTTCATCATCGACAAAATTCCATCAAATGATGGAAAGACAGAGGCTGGCTAGAGCATTGCAGCAATGTTATCAATACATAGATAGTCAAGTCTACTCCGGTTTATTTAGATGAAACATTTGATTTGTGTCCATGCAGGTTGGTTCTCTTGCTCCATGGGACAGCACCGGTGCTGCCGGCCTCGTGTGTGACACCACCAACGGCTTCTACTGCGCCAACAACCAGAACTACCCAGTCGGCTGTGACGATTATGAGATCAGCGTTCTCTGTAACTGTGGCGAGACCACCACTGAGGTAAGTCTCACAAGTAATAGTTGAACATCAGATGCTCTTTATAAAGAAACTAGTCTGCTCCAAGTGATAAAGTTGATGATTTCCAAACGTTTTTATTTGCATGCCACCATGCAATTCAAGCTTCTTTTACCAGTATAGGAAAGGTAGCGTTAATGGCCATTCGACATAGGAATGGAAACATTAAGATCAATTGTATTCTCAGAACGGGTATGCTAAGAATATGATCAATCTTTACGTTGGATGTCGAATGGAAACTAACATTGCCGTTTGAACATCCGAAAGGCATAACACCTTTTGTACACATGTACATGTTTGCACCTTATTTTACCACCAGTACAGAAAAGATTATTGTAGAGTTACTCAGTCTAACTTCTTAAAATATCCCCTGATAGGTGTTCACCACCAAGCCTACACAGACCCTGACCACCATTGGCACCCAGACTACTGGTACTACCACCACCCTGGCCACTGCCAGCACCACCAAGCCAACCATGGTGACCCAGACCGTTGCCCAGACAACAACCGTCGGCCAGACCACCACCGTGCCCACTCAGACCCAGACCTCCATCGGCACCCTGCCTACTGGTACCACCACTACTCTGGGTACTGTCAGCTTCCCAACAGACACCACCACCCTGGCCACTGCCACTGCTTCCACCACCAAGCCTGTAATTCCCACTGAGACCATTGCTCAGACAACAACCATCGGCCAGACCACCACTCAGGGTACCACACCACAGAGCACCACTGCCACCATCGGTACACTGACACCCACCATGGCTACCAGCACTCTGAAGCCTGTCACCACTTCCATTGGCTCTGGCACCCCAGGTACTGAGGTTGTCACCTTCACTGAAGGTACCACCCAGCAGGTTACCACTACCCAGCAGAGTACCACTGGTACCACCACCACCAAGCCAGTCACCACCACCAAGCGTAAGTACCTCTTCTAGAGTGATGGCTTGACATTTATTACACTACAGCTCTATTTGACCAAAGTCAGTAGCTTGAAAATTTGAAACTGACAGCATTTCCTCTGTAACATGGATTGTCCTGACTCATGTTTCAACATTGCTTGTTTCTTGCATCTTAACCTAAATACATTTTTCATTAAGACCGTCAAAGAATGTACATTTTGTACAATGTCATGTAGTAATATGGTTTTATTTA